CCATGACGGTCTACAGTAGAACAGCTGGAATAGAATCCAATAGCACTTAAGAGATCAACAAGATTTCCTGTGTATAAGCTTTCCTTTGTCAGATTCTAGTGTGTGCTCTAGTTAAGGACAAGCAGCAAATCCACGAAGGTGTACCTCATCTGCAGACTGGGGGAGGGACAGATACCATCTGGGGAGCAATGCCTGGGAAACTTGGCATATCTACTCTCCTTTACAGCAGAGGCAAAGTTGTGAAAGCATAAATCATAGACAACCATTTACCTCACTGCAGGAGGTGCTACCTTGATGCTCTTCTCACAACATGTGCCATTTCATGCCATAAGAACAGTCGTGGCCTACAAAAGCCCCAGGCCAAAACTCTTTAGGTCAAGAATCCAGATGCTCTGGAGCCCTCCACTGCTTGTTATTCTTCAACCCAAATAACCAGCACAGGAAGAATCCATCAAGGAGGAAAGAGAGGTCCACTGGAAATGCCTAGTTGGCTGCCAGATGTCTAGTATTTAAAAGTGATGCTTCTTAGCTGTTGCTATAATCTCTATTCTTTCCCATTGGTGTTTGGATTTTAGTAGGGTAGCAGAGTGCTCAATGGCTTAAAATGCAGCAGAGCCATCTGGTCAGTGTGTGTGCCAGTGAGAAAAATAAACTTACACACGGAGCCTCTTGTATCTTTTCAAACTAATAAGAGCTCCTTACTATCAGAACTCCTTAACTAGGATAATGAAGAGATCAATTCTCTAATCTAGTCCAACTAGCTAGATCCTGCTCTCATGGTGCCAAGATGGAGAATCATGGCATTGTGTGTGGAGAGAGAGGCCACTTCTGCACTGTCAGTTTTGTCACTCGTTTTTCCCTATTGCTTTGGTCCCCCCCCCTTTCTACATGTGTTTTTTGCTCCCTCTGGGACTACTAGAGAAATTGAGGGGGGGGGACAACCGAGTGTCAAAAGTGACAGTGTGGAAGTGGCCAGAGCGTGACCAGAAGGAAGGACGTTTTCCCTAAGAGTAACAATCTACACATCAAAGAGTAGTAAAGCAAGGGTGGTCAGTGTCCTGCCTATAACTATAACTCTCTTGTAGCCTTCCTCTGGAATCTGAGGCAAAGAGATGGCACAAAGTCCTTCACTTCCAACAATCAGTACCACATCATTTTCCTTTGTTTTTAAGGAAAGCAATGCGTAGCTTTTCCTTTGTTTATTCTTCCATTACATACCAGTTCATATGTAATCAGCTCACTGACTCCTCATAATTTCAGCTTCCATTATGGTTCTCCCTCTGTCTGGATCAGGACTCTCTATTCATCAACCTACTGCCCCTTGAAAGACTGGTTCTGTAATAAAGCCTTCCTTCAACTATCATAAGCCTCACTTTACTGTCACTTAAGGGTGCCAACTTTCAGGTGGGGCCTGGAGATCTTCCATAATTACAACTGATCTCCAGACTTCAGAGTTCAATTCCCCTGGAAACTATGAAAGTTTTGGGGGATGAACTCTATGGTATCACATCCCTGCTGAGTTCTGTACCCTCCCTGACTCCACCCTAAATCTCATAAGGACATAAGAACATAAGAGAAGTCAATGTTGTATCAGGCCAATGGCCCATCTAGTCCAACACTCTGCCACACAGTGGCCAAAGATACCAGGTGCCATCAAGAGGTCCAGCAGTGGGGCCAGGACACTAGAAGCCCTCCCACTGTTGGCCCCCCAAGCACCAAGAATACAGAGCATCACTTGACCCAGCCTGAGAGTTTCTATCTATACCTTGTGGCTAATAGCCAATGATGGACCTCTGCTCCATATGCTTATCTAATTCCCACTTGAAGCTGTCCATGCTTGTAGCCGCCGCCACCTCCTGTGGCAGTGGATTCCATGTGTTAATCACTCTTTTGGTGAAGAAGTGCTTCCTTTTATCTGTTCTAACCCAACAGCTCAGCAATTTCATTGAGTGCCCACGAATTCTTGTATTGTGAGAAACGGAGAAAAGTACTTCTTTCTCAACCTGCTCTATCCCATGCATAATCTTGTAAACTTTGATCATGTCACCCCGTTGTTTCTCCAAGCTAAAGAGCCCCAAGTGTTTTAACCTTTCTTCATAGGGAAAGTGTTGCAACCCTTTTATCATTCTAGTTGCCCTTTTCTGCACTTTTTCCAATGCTATAATATCCTTTTTGAGGTGTGGTGACCAGAACTGTACACAGTACTCCAAATGAGATTGCACCATTGATTTATACAGGGGCATTATGATACTGGCTGTTTTGTTTTCAATACCCTTCCTAATAATCCCCAGCATAGTGTTGGCCTTTTTTATTGCAGTCACACACTGTCTCGACATTTTCATTGAGTTATCTACTACAACTCCAAGATCTCTCTCTTGGTCAGTCTCTGCCAGTCCGGGCCCCATCAATGTATATTTATAGTTAGGATTTTTGGCTGCAATGTGCATCACTTTGCACTTGGCCACACTGAACCACATTTGCCCCATTGACACCCACTCGCCCATCCTCGACAGATCCCTTTGGAGTGCCTCACAATCCTCCCTGGTTCTCACCACCCTGAACAACTTCATGTCATCTGCAAATTTAGCCACTTGACTGCTTACTCCCAACTCTAAATCATTAATAAACAAATTAAAAAGCATCGGACCGAGTACTGATCCCTGTGGTACCCCACTGCTTACCACCCTCCACTGCAAAAATTTCCCATTTATACTCACTCTCTGTTTCCTATTAATTAGCCAGTTTTTGATCCACAAGTGTACTTGTCCTTTTATCCCATGACTACTGAGCTTACTTAGGAGCCTTTGATGAGGAACTTTAAGGTAAACAACATCTATTGGGTCCCCCTTGTCCACATGTTTGTTCACTCCCTCAAAAAACACTAACAGGTTAGTGAGACAAGATCTTACCTTACAGAACACATGCTGAGTCTGCCTCAATAGGTTTTGTTCATCAATGTGCCTACTAATTCCAGGAATTTCCCAACCCAGAGTTGGCAACCCTACTGCCACTTCACCTTCCCCCACCTTCACTATATTATGTAGATTAGAGTCTTTAACCAAATTACTTCTGTGTCATGTGTAATGCTAGGAATTAATCCTAAACAGGTTCAGTCAGAAGTCAGTCCCATGTTATTCAGTGGGACTTAAGAACAGGAAAGTGTCTTCAGGACTGCACCTTTAGTTTCCTAGTAATTATCAGTATGTTTTATTCTGGAATGAAATCTGTTATAGAAAATAATGGAAGCCACTTATTTCAGTTCTACAGTACTTGTAAGAATATACTCTATAGCCAAGAGGTTTTATTTTGTAGGTGCATCTTACTAGCACAAACTATCCAAGCACTTTATTACTGTTCTGAACAGGTCAAGCACTTGACATGGTAGTTCTCACTCATTCAGTAGACAACTACTTTGGCCTCACTGCAATTAACAGTGCCAGCAGACTAAGAATCACCCGTTATTGCTAAATTTACATGATATCATCAAGCTGTCCACCCAGAATTCTAACAATAAGGAGTTCATGAACTTTCAACAAAGAACTAAGAGAACCTCAGAACTATACCAGAGTGTATTTTGATCAATGAAAATAAAGGAATTTTTAATGTATATATCATTATATGAAGAGGGCAGGTTCCACTCAATAATTTGGTTTCAGACTTGTGTCCTTAAAGAAGTTTGTATCCTTACAGAACCACTACTGCAGTTAAAAACAAGCTAGCCATTGAGGTACATTACTAATTTTGAAGTTTTCCAGTAAATATAATACAGTCTTATTTGTTCGCATTCCCTAAAACTTCATTTTCAGTTCTAAGCAATATGGCATACATGCAAGTTCTCAGTTGCAATGAAACTGCCAGATGCAAAAAGGACAGTCTTAGCAGCAATCACCACTACCTTTACACAGGAATGCACACATGCATGCAAGCTGGAAGAAGAGACTGAAATAAAAACACAGCACAGGCTTAACAAACTTAACTCCATTTGAGAAATGCTTATATATGCATATATAAAGCAGGGAATTAAAGTCTGTGGGGGGTGTGTGTTGTAGTTTGGATAAACTGGTTTAACTACGGTATGTTGGAAAAGTTAGTATTTACCCACCCCTTTTATTTGTTATAAACAAATCTGAAGATTTCCCAAGAAGGAAATTCAATGTTTTTCTCCCTTGGAGAGGATCCCAACTAGGGCTTAAAAAACATAAATTAAAAACGTGCACTTTAAAACATATACCTCCCAGTGACTTCGTTTGAAAATTTTGTCAGTATAATTTATCACAAATTGGAAGTGTGGATTCTAAAAGTAGAGCTGTCTCTTTCCAACAAGTAATCTGGCTCTTATGATGCTGTTTTAAACATTTTAGATACTTGCATCATTGTGGAATCGGATGCAATTAGCCAACTGAAACATATTCATTTTAGAAAGCCACTCAGAATTAATTGCTTCATTGAAAATTTATAGTAGCTCAGAATCAATTGATCTGATCAGTTAAAAGCAACACACATACACATCTACCTTAAAAGCGCTTTAAATCTATATAGACCCATATCTCCCCAGTCCTTAGTGGATAAGCTAAAGGTTGAACTGCCATGCCAAGTTTTAATCCCCAGAGTGAAGTTTTACAGCTCATACAATAAATCTTTCAAAATAGTGGTAAGTAATGGAAATACTGAGATCTTTTCCAGCACAGCAACTATATCATTCTAACAAACACAGAACATACCCTCTGAACACACCCCTCCCCTCACAACCCCAAAGTTTTCCATTAATGTATATTGGGTAATTAATGTACAAGCTTAAAGAGACATTCTTACAGCAGAAGGCAATATTTTGGCCAAAAGCCCAAACCAACAAGGGAGGTGTGTGGGGGGGTATTAGTCTCCACCTCCTGGGTCTGACACTATACCAGATGGAATACATAGATGCATAAGGGAGACGGAGAGAGAAAGAAACAGAAGACTTTTTAAAATATACAGTTTGAAAAGGGGAAAAAAAGACTTACCACTTTCATTCTTCTCTATTACATCCACAACCTCTCCAGCCTGCAGGCTAATCTCGGAGTTCTCCTGTTTTTCATAGTTAGACACCACCACATACTGCTCCAGGATCATGGGTTCAGAGCTAGCGTCAGCACCTGGGGAAGGGAAAAAGCAAGCTGTGAGCCAGCTTCCAGCCATGGCTCCTCGAGAGCAACCTCTGTCCATCTGACTCACGATAGGCCAATTTGTCACCAATGCCAAGCCAATCAGAACACAACAACTTTGGCTCGCGACATATCCCCAAATGGCTGGCCATATAGAAGAAGCTTCCTCTGGCCCACAGCTCAGCAGCACAGAGGAACATTGGAGAGAAGGAAGGGAAGAAAAAAAAAATCTACCAGCAACAGTATATTGTTAATTAAAACCCATAGTTGCAGGATGGAGCTTGAAAACAAAACCTCGTCCCAACATGGTTTCCACACCATCCTTGTTCCCATTCAGAGAGAAAAATCCATCCCAGCCACACAACCAGTCTTCTAAAAAAAGAGGGGGGAGAGAAAAGATCTCCAAGGGCTGCCTCAGTAAATGTGAAAGTCCACAATTTCTCCCCCTTATAGGCTGCACTCCTACTTTGCTCTTACAGGCTCGAGCAGAAAGTCAAAAGGGGGCTGCGGACGCCAATCATATTTGCCTCACGCTGCAGCCCTTAAATAGAAAACACATGAGCTGTGTTGAATAAAAGGAGGTGGGGGTGGAGGAAGGGGAAAGAAGGGAGGGCACAAAAGACTGTTTACTTGAAACAGAAGAAGAAGCACTACAGAACCAGATTCCTTTTTACAGTTCTCCCGTCTGCTCACTCTTCCCGAACAAGACTCACTCAAATACTCCTCATTAAAGCAAAGCACACACATACACAAAACACTCTGCTTTTGACATGCAACTGTAAACAAAAAATAAAACCCGTTCTTGAGATAGTAAAACTCACTAGAGTTTTAAAGCTCCCCAAATCACCACAAAATGCTTCAACTGCTCTCTCCACCCCTACATATCACACCAGTTTTCCTGAGAACCTCAGGCCCATTCCCCCCTCCTCCCTTCCCAAATTTTCTGGTTCATTTCTTAATGCTGATCATATGATTATAACCACAGACTCAAAAGGTATGTTATACCACCAGGCTGGAAGGTCAGTTAATTTCCTAGCGGCAGCAAGCTGCAGCAGAAGCCCTTGGCTCAATCACCCAGAACATAAACAATGGCCCACCCCTGAACACCCACAGGAAGATCTAACCCATGGTGCCTGCAACCAGAAGCCTGCTACAAGAATATTCTCAAGCCAGGGCCTTCCCCCCCACCCCAGAACTCACCCTCTCTCTTATGAGTGAAAGGCTAGAAACTTCAAGGAAACTGACAGTTATACTTTTAAGAGATCCAACTGGCCCCGAATGTGGTGGTGCAAGTCCTGACGGGAACATCACAGACGGCACATATACATCCAGTGCTGCACCAGCTACACTGGCTCCCAGTGGAATACCGAGTCAAGTTCAAGGTTTTGGTATTGACCTATAAGGCCTCGAGCAGTCAGGGACCAACGTATCTATGGGACCGTCTCCTCCGTTTTATCCCCAGGAGCGCCCTAGGTTCCTTAGACAGCAATCTGCTGGTGATCCCCGGCCCTAAAGACATCCGGCTGTCCTCGATCAGGGCCAGGGCCTTTTTGGTCCTGGCCCCAACCTGGTAGAACTCTCTGCCAAATTCCATCAGGGCCCTGCGGGATCTGATGTAATTCTGCAGGGCCTGCAAGGGAGAGATGTTCTGCCAGGTTTTTAGTTGAGGACAGCGATGCTTCCATATTGTCTGGCACCCTTCTTGTTTCCTGTTGTTTACATCTATTTTGCCCTCTTCTCTCCTGTCCATGAAATAGCTGGCAGTGGGAGATGGAATGGAGACTGGTTATTCGCCATCTGATTGTCTCTAATGTTCTACTAATGTTTTAGCTGATTTTATCTTGTTTTATTTGTGGTTGTTCATCACGCAGAGCCCTGCAGAAGCAGGGGTTGAGTGATTAACAACAACAACAACAACAATTTTAGAAGATTATTAGTTAAATGCACCCAATTACAACAGTAGCAAGCACTAGTCTTGACAACAGTAAAATAGACATTTATTTCCTAGAGCCAGCAACACCTTTCTGACCATGTAGATGACCTTTTGGGTTCTCCAAGGCCATTGTCAACTAGTGGATTCATATGACCATTTTACCATGCATCTTCAGTATACAGTGATAAAATCCTCCCTATCACAACTATTCAGACATTCAAGATATATGTGAAAAAACTTCATTCCAAGGTAGTATGGTCATATGTATGGCATTCATGCCAGGCTTTTTTCCTTGTTTGCATCATCATGATGGACCTCTGAAATACTATTTTATACTCCATCTTCCCCAAGGCATGAGGACCCAGGCAAGCATAATGAGGTAAGCATTCACCCAGTAACACTTGTATGGGCAACTTGAGGTCCACTAACAGTCTTCACAGCACTTAAGTGTAGGCTGCAACCAAAACACCCCCCACCACAATACAGATATCAGTGTGCTCCCATAAGTGATGGAGCATGTGGTTTTTCATACAAAAGTCTCAAGCTCAATTCTTAGTGCGTCCATTTAAAGGCTGTCAAATTGGGATGAAAGACCATAGATCCTAGGGGGCGGTTACCAGTCAGATTAGACAATGTAATTAAAGATGGGCCAGTAGTCTGACATGGTGTAAAGCACTTCATATATTTACATTTGGGGGGCGGGGAAACAATTAAAATATTGTTCAAATATATATACTGTATATCCCAACTGGCCCCGGATTGTGCGTTATGTATCTCCAGAGAACCCCAGCACAAAAATTCTAAATCATCCCTGTAAATCCAAAAATCTCTCAGCTTTCATGTCTTCATCATCAGTGTCTTGAAGCCACATGAAAAAAAGAGCTCACAAGAATGAAAAAAGTCATTATTTGTCAGCATATTTCAAAACTGGAGAAGAGCAATGAAAATTTCTCATCATCAGTCGTTAACAATTCCAGCATCTACACATCACTTAAGTGGGACATCACTAGCACTTCCTTGACATCTACTGTTTCCTTCCATTTTGCTGAGAATGCTGAATCTCCCCCCCCCATTCTGTTAGTCCTGTTAATGCATTTGAATTTTGAGTATTTTACAAGTATTATGTTTTTAAAAACATGCTGCTTTGTGGATTCTTTGCATGCAAAAGAAGTGGGTATTACACAAATGTTGGTAAAAAGAATTTAGCATGTGGGCATGCAATACGACGTTGCATTCAAATATCACTGATCTGGAAAACCACTACAAAGAACAACATAACCCCTACTTCAAAGGGGCAAACAGAACCCCTTATAGAGTCCCTTTTCCTATTAAAAAATTAAGAGTACTAGACTAGGAATGGGTTTGCGTGCATACTTAAGGGAGAGAAAAAGAGAGACTGTCAACATAGTAGAAGCTCCCAGAAATTTATCTAGTGACTCTTGCCTAGGAGCCTCTATGGCTCTTCAAAACATGGAAGCACTGCAGGGCAGGGAACAGTATCAGGCACAAATGAGGGATGAGGCTCAGCCAGTGGTTAAAGACAAAGAGACAGCCACTGCCCCATGGAATTCCAGCCTTTACATGCCAAGTCTAATTAGCCATTTTGATCTCCTGCTTCTTTCCTTTCCTCACAAAGCTCAAAAACAAACGCTAGTTATTGTGCTAGCTTCTTTGGTGGATGGATGCATTCACAATACATCACTTTAGGGAGCATATTTTACTTTGCAGCATTCCAACTTCTGTCTGAGAGAACACCCCCCCCAATACAGCATGCAAAGACAGAGCACAGATCACGTGTTTTGCTTGGTCAAATGGATGAAACTTAAGTTTTCTGATGAAGAACTTTAACCTCCTTGATTCACAGGCCCCAAATTTAACAGGCATAAGCTCCTGGGTGAAGACATGCAGATCCTTTCTGCAAAAAGCAAGGCCTTCAAGAACCGGGTATTTCAGATTTAGTGGTTCCATGATCAGCAGAGTTACATAAGGATGCCAGCATCCAGGTGGGACCTGGGGATCCCCTGGAATTACAGCTCATTTCCAGACTGCAGAGATCAGTTCCCCTGGAGAAAATGGATGCTTTGGAAGGCCAGCTCTATGGCATTGTACCCCACTGAAACCCCTGTCCTTCCCAGGCTCCATTGTCAAACTTCCAGGAGATTTCCAACCTGGATCTGGCAACTCTGTCCCACTAGTAGAGTGCCTTTGTTCTCAACAAGAGATAAATCAGAAACTTTTGAGAAGGTATAGTTGGCTCATCTTAGGGTTTGGGGGAGAGGCAGGAAGGGGAGAAACAATTTTTTTTTTGCCTAGTTTTGCCAAGCCCTCCTCCAATTACTGGTAGCCAGCCAAGATCCGTGGTCAATGCTAAGCCCCCTTCCCCCCCAGTCCTCATGGACCAAGAGCATATGTCTCATATCAAGCTAAGCACTGGAAGACAAGCAGCGCAAATCCCACATTGTTTCTGCTGTTCCAGTCCAGAGTAACATGAGAGCTCCTTCCTGTCTTCCCAACCTTCCCCCCAAGTTCTCAGTGGTTTGCAGAGATCCCAAAATTTGCTGCTGGGTATCCTGTCTGGGGCAAGGGACATTAAAGAACACCACAGACAATCAGATCTGTCAAAGCCTGGGTTTGTGAATTAACACTTGGTAAAACACTCACCCTATATTAAATTATTGCAGGTCATTTCCACGTGTTGGGAGTTATACCACTCAGCACTTTTCTTTTAGCAAACAGTCAGTACGCCATTTCAGTCCTGAGCAGTGGCAACTCACTAAATTTGGAACTTCTCAGGATAACCCCAAAGTCTCCTTCTGAAACTCCTGTTCACATAACAGCACACACTCTGGGCTTGGTCTCCTATGCACAATAGGCCCTAAATTGAACAGATTTTTTGTGTAATGACTATTTTGGTTCCAGTCTCCTACATGCAGGGAGATTTTGACATGGGGATCCATCCACACTTCAACCACTCAATCACACACATAATTCTGGTAAAATAGAATGGAAAAACATACAAGTTTTCCTTGCTTGTTCAAGGCATTCTTATGGTTGGAGA